AAGAGCCCATTCAGTTCGATTAAAATCAGTTTTTACATCGTTAAAACATATCGCTATGTTCTTAACATTGTTTTGGAATGTTTGTATAAAGGATATAATTAACAATAGCTGTGAGGATGACGAACTTAACGGGTCTTGCGTTTTTAGTAGTTTTCTAGTAGACAAATGAAAATCAGCAAATCGTTTATCAAGTGCGGTTCTATCTTCGTAATACTGAATATCCGCTTTTAAATTTTGTATTTTTTCGTAAAACTTATATATATATATATATATATATATATATATATATATATATATACTCGCATCACCATCACGTTCAGCATGATCGTAAACTGTAACGTCACCAACGTCACACGTTCTCTCTCGCACTCATTGATTTCCCTATCTGGCCCAGAACCAGCATAACTTATCTACTCACCTTAAATATTAAACCAACAGAAATATTGACTTCTCTTAAGGAATAGTTAAGGGGTGAATAATTACTAGTGCGGTAATAAATGTGGTACTAGTGTGGTAATAAAAACCTAGCAGAGCACTGTGGTATATCATAAATAATATTTTTGTAATTGTACTAGTTTTAACCGTAAGTCAGCAAAATCGATCTTCTTAAGGGTGGTTTGGTGGTAGAAATAATTATTAAGGTGGTAATAAATTAGTGAAAAATAGGTAAAAAATATGTCATCGGCAAAAAGTGTTTTTTTTTACTTCTGCTAGCTTGAACCTTAAGACAACAGAATCGCTCCCCTTAAGGTTGGTTTGGTGGTGATAAATTATTAGAGTGGTAATAAATTAGTTAAAACTGGGTGAAAAAATATTACGTAGGTTAAATTAAATTCCGCTCATTTGCCCTCACTAGCTTAAGGGTCCTAGAGAAAGCTCCAGTATAGAGTATATATATATATATATATATATATATATATATATATATATATATATATATAATATATATATAAATATGTATATATATACATATATATATATATATATATATATATATATATATATATATATATATATATATATAGAGAGAGAGAGAGAGAGAGAGAGAGTACTCTCTACCCTCTAATAATTGCAATAGAATATATATTGGAGAAAAGTCCAGAAATTTGTTCGGAAGATTAATATCGCACAAGAGTGGCATTAATCTGAATAAAGTACAAGCCTGTGCATTAAGTGAACGATAACGAACATTACAATGGGCCACACGCCTAACTATAATCAAGCAGAAATATTGGGAAGGGAAAGAACTTACAACAAAAGACTGTTTCTAGAAATGTGTTTGATTAAAACTACACAAAACACCTTAAACAAAAGGGAAGACATTGGAAATCTTAGTGATATATACAGTAATCTTCTTTTAAAGAAAAGAACAACAACGATACAAAAAAGTTACACAGTCTGTAACTTTCTGTAAAAGTTACACAGATTAAAGGGATTACTACAAGTTTAAATAAGATAGTTTTTTTTGTTAATTGTGTTTAATTTTTTTTTTAATTACTTAGTAACATAAACTCTGTAGCTTGTTTAATAAGTGCAAACGAAACATTTTTACATAATATGTCAAAATTTGCATTGAATGTTTACATAAACATATACATTTCCTCTGTCAAACTAACCTAAAATGAATATAAAAAATAGAAGAGACATGGAAACCATAGTAATAGGTTTTGACAGAAAGAAAAAGAAAATCAAATAAGATAGTGTCAAATGTTTAGTAATTCTGCTAATTTTATAGTACAATCCTCACAAGGGTAAGCCTGTCAAAGATACAACAACTTCATTGTTTTAATGTAGTCTTTTGTTTTAGCTTAGTGTGTTATGAGAAAGAGTTAAATAAACTCGAAAGCTTGACAAATCTCAAAGAGGTTTACTTAAAGGCCATTATTTGACTACAAAACCCAAAATATCCATGTAGGTATATTAATACTCACCTAGTCACTAAAACTTTTTCCAAGAATATATATATATATATATATATATATATATATATATATAAAGTCTGGAAACGGCCAAGTATCTCGTAAATTACCAGACATCATTATACAAAATTTGAGACCCTTATATTATTAGTAACTTTGGTTTTTCAAATTTATTACCTGTACATTTACTCATTATTGAAATCTCCGTTTCAATACGAGTTTAACCATATGTAACACCTATAATTTTATGTAGTCTGGAAGGTTTTAAATACATAAAATAAAAGTCTGGCAACGCCTAATTGTCTCAATAAATTTTTTAATACTAACTATTTTTAACTACATTAAAACGTAACAATTGATAGATTACAACATTTTTTAACACAATGGTTACTTTATTAAGTGTTCAATATGTTCTTCATTTGTGAGTTGACAGTACCCTAATCGATGATAGAATGCGTCTACCACATTTTTCCATGATTGTCTAGAATTTATTCAAGATTCATCGATTTTTCTTGCATTAGGTCTGCATTAGTTGCTGGTGTAGTTTTGTAAACTAAATTTTTCAAGTATTTCCAATAAAAATTATCTTTTGGATTGAAATCAGGTGAACGTGGAGACCATTTAATTCTACCTCGTCTACCAATCCATCGTCCTGGAAATATCTCTTCTAAATAACCCCGAGCATTTACCCCAAAATGAGCTGGAGCTCCATCTTGTCCATATCTAATTAAAATTGGCACCAAACAAGTTTATCAGTGCAGGTATAATTTCATTTCTAAGTAACATTTCGTAACTGTCTGAAGTTAAATTTCCTTCGATAAAAAATGGCCCAATTAACTGAGTACCTACTGTACCTGACCATACATTTAATTTTTGTGGTCTTTGAGTTTGGTTTTCACGCATCCAGTGTGGTATTACGTCACTTTAGTACCTTAAATTGTGTCGATTTACACTTCCACACGGTGTAAAGGCTGCTTCATCGGAAAAACATATTCTGTAAACGAAATTTTTATCCTTTTCCATTTAATCATAATTACCTCAGTAAACTCTAATCTACGATCGAAATCATCTGTACTTAATTCTTGCAATAAGTTAAATTTGTATTGTTAAAAATATTCTTATGTAATACACATAAGACTGGAGAACGACCTACATCATGTACTTGTGCAACCCTGCGTGAGGATGTATGCGGATCTTTAACAAAACTTTGCATTATATCTAGTTTTGTTGTCACTCATAACTCTTTTTGATCAAACTTATCGGTGTCTATCTAGTAAATTCGTAATTCGTAATTTGCAATTTGTAATTCGGTGTAAATGTAATGTAAATTCGGTAAAATTTGGTGTAAATGTTCGGCGTTATTTAGAAGAGGTATTTTCCGGACGATGGATTGGTTGACGAGGTAAAATTGAATGGCCTCCACGTTCACCTGATTTCAATCCTAAAGATTATTTTTATTGGAGATACTTAAAAAATTCAGTTTACAAAACTAAACCAGCAAGTCTTCCAGAACTAAGGCAACGAAATATCGATGAATCTCGAATAATTTCTAGACAATCATGGAAAAATGTGGTAGACGCATTCTACCGTCGATTAGGGTACTGTCAACTCACATGGAGCACATTTTGAACACTTGATAAAGTAACCATTATGTTAAAAATGTTGAATTCTATTAATTGTTACATTTTAATGTAGTTAAAAATTTAAGTAGTATTCAAAAATTTATTGAGACAATTAGGCGTTGCCAGACTTTATGTTTCATGTATTTAAGATCTTCCAAACTACATAAAATCATAAGTGTTACATATGGTTGAACTCGTATTGAATAGGAGATTCCAATTATGGCTGAATATACAGGGTGATTTGAAAAACCAAAGTTACTAATAATATAAGAGAAACGGCAAATTTGACAACATTGCAAATATTAAATATGAAATCTCCGTAGCCCAAAATAGGTTTACCTTAAATTTTGTACAATTATAACTAGCAATTTACGAAATAATTGGCCGTTTCCAGACTTTTGGGCCACTCTGTATATATTCTTGGAAAAAGTTTTAGTGACTAGGCGAGTATTAATATACCTACATGGATATTTTTATATATAAATATGTATGGATATATTTATATATAAAATGACATTTCAATGTAGTTTTATATGTTAACTTCACCACTGTACTAAAATAGGTTTCCATTAGGTGCTGATGAAGTGACAACATATCACCGAAAATTTCACATATAGAATAAGTTCTACACCAAACTGGCTTATACCATCTCTAGCTGATCATGTTTGACGCTTTCCGAAGTTATCCTCCAAGAATTATATATATATATATATATATATATTATATATATATATATAGTTATATATATATAATATATATAAATTGATAAGTATTTACAAATGGGAAGTTTTTAATGAAAATTAATTAGTATCCCCTTCTTTTATTCATTATTGCTCTTGGAATATAATTAAAATAAAATTATTAAATATAAATACAAAATAAATATAAAAATGTATATAATGAATAAATTATATTGGCATTATACTTACAAATTTTGAAAATTACTAAAACTCTTTAACAAAATTTTTAAAGAAAAGACATTTTAAAAATGTACATAAAGAATAAAACATAAAAGTTCATTAATCTACATGTAATAACACGCGATAAGAAGTATTCACTTGTTTCAGCACTGCTTAAGTGCCAAAAAAGTGGCTCTTTTTTTTTGTTGTAAAGATCTTCTGCAAATTGATGAAATGTTATTAAAATAAACCTACAAAATTGATTATGGCTATTTTAAAGATTTTAATAAAACGTAACTTAAAAATAATATCTATATAGTAAGTAATAATCAATAATATCAATATATAATCAATAATAATAATTAAAATATATTTTCATATAAATTAACAGCAAATTCAACAAACGAACATTATTTTAATTTATGTATGGATTATCCCATATTTGTAATGATTCGTGGAAATGGAAGTGGAAACCGAAACGTCAAAATAAAATTATTTTAAAGTAAATGTGTAAACAGGTCTTGTCCAACAAAAATTTATTTGACACCAAAAATATTTACCTGCATATGATCTTCTTTCATTTTGTTTAATAAATTTGTATTTCTCTTCAGCTTTGGTTATATTTGGCACACCTAATTCTGTTCCATTAGATCCAGTATGACCCGCAAGGTGGGCTAACATTAAAAATAAAGGTTTTGATATGTTGTGCTTGTGAATTATATCTACGGCTTTTTTAGAAAATAATTCTGTAGCATAGTTTCCTTCTAAGGACCACTGAGGCGTAAAATTGTCACGAAAATCTAAGCCTGTAAAATTCTAAAAAAAAAATATTAGTTTTAAAACTACAACAAAAGTTTTTGTTTTATAAATATCCATTATGTCATTAAATAAAAACTTAAAAGGTAAGAAACTCTACCATTTCTAGAAAATGTTACCATTCTAAAACTAATAAAATTTTATTATTTAGTAGTCCAGGCGGGACTTGACGAGAAGCAGATCATAATGGTCATTTTCCATAGCAATTTTTTTGGTGAAATCACATCAGGATGTACTCTGTATTAAATAATTACGATATGCACTAGTCACAAACATTGTGCCTAGTTTTGTTATTCAACAAAATCTGAAAAAAATCGAAAACAGTTTTGTTAATTCCAAAAAAATGAGCGTTTTCTTTAAAATTGTTCGACTACCTACATAACTTACAGTATTTATATTCCGTCGAGAAAAACTTTATAATACTACTAAAGTGAGTGCTAAATTTCATTATGACCGGATTAATAGTTTTTGCATGCTTTTGCAATCTAAAGTGCACAAAAAACTTTGCAAATTTTCAAAATTGTGCCCTGTAAAATTCAAAATGTAATTTTTTAAATATCAAGAAAATCTCAAGTTTTCAAACGAGCATTAAAAAATGAAAGTCAACTATGCGAGCCTAGGGATTTTTTAAAGGTATAGCCAAGTTTTTCGAATTATTCGTTATTTCCAAAAAAAAAATAAATTTTCAAATTTAATAAATTATTATTTAATTTAAAACAGCTAAAAAAAATTAATTCCAATATTTAAATTATTTTAAAAAGTTATAATTAAGCAAAAAACAAATTTTTTATCATCCCTTCCTACGCAACATAAATTTGCTGCCTACCATAGCATGTTACATAGATTAATGGAAATTCCCATGTCAAAAAATAACTTCGAAATATAACTGAATATCATCTAGGGTTACCAACTTGTCACACATCGAGTTCAGGGACAAGGGACAAAAAAAGTTGAGATGTATACTACTAGAGAACTCCTACTCATAGGGCTTTTAAATAAACTCATTTTCGGCTCTTCTTTTCCTTCGCAATTTTCTGACAAGCACAATTTTCACAATAACGAAGTCCGACAATTGACGTTGACATACATTACATCACTAATACCATCTAAAATTACTTATGGTTCCTTACCCTACATTCCGAGTCATCGAATGTTGTTTATTCTATACCATGTCTCAATTGTAACAACGTATATATCGTAAAATCATCTCGTAAAAAACCATTCAAAAGCAACATTTACTGTTATTTACTGGAAAGACATCAAAAATAAAATAAATATTTACATCAACCTATACACGTTACCATATACCTGTGTGCATAACAGGTTGCATACCATTAAGACAGGTTTAAAAATTAAAATTACCCAGTATGGGCGTCTTGGTTCTTGAAAAGAAATACAATATTAAGAACACCTAATTACATTTCATTCATATTCTTTTTTCTTTGTGTTCCCTTTATATTTGTGTTATTATTAATGTTGAATGTCAAAGCTTATTATAAAAATAATCTCAACGACTCGTAAGTTGCACTGACGAATTGTGCTATTTTGTAAATATTTACATATTCTTTTTATCTATATTACAGTGTCTTGAAAAAGGAATAAAACAATTCCGAAACATAGGCAAAAAGTCAAAAGAGTGTTTCTTTAACATCTTGGCCATCCTTCTGACTGCAGCCCTAATAAACTGGTTGTTTATATATTTATTACTCTCCAAAATTAACGCATCACCTAAAATAAACCATGATTTTCAAACTATTTTCTTCTGAACCCTTAATTGGATTTCGAAGAATTTTTTTCACATTGTATGTAAATTTCTAATTAATTACTATAATGTTTTTTGAGAAATGTCTACGTTTTACCTATACATGGGGTGTAAAAATTAAGTTCTGTTTTTTCATCTAATTTTGCAACACACTTTGGGATATATTAGAAACAAACGTTACATGTTATTAATACTTCGAGATCGCTTTATTCTTTCTCTACATTTTCGTTAAATAATCATATTAATATGTCTATTATCAAAGAAGAAAAGTATGTTCAAAGCATTACGTGATTTTCTTTTCTCCAATATTAACGCACCACCTCAACTCTACCATAATTTTTAAGCTATTTTTCTTTTGAATCCTTAATTGGGTTTTGATGATTTTTTTTTTTTCGAATTGCAGTCCTATTTCTAATTAATTACTGTATTAATGATTTCTGGGAAACCCCGTATATGGGTTTCACCCATATACGGGGTGTAAAAAAAAATTTAAGTTTTCATCTTATTTTGCAACACTCTGTGGAATATATTAAAAGCAAACGCTACATCTTATTAATATTTCGAAAAAACTTAATTTTTTTCAACATTTTCGTAAAAAAATCATTGATATCTTTATTATAAAAAAAGTACGTTCAAAGTATAACGAGATTTTATTGAGCTGTTTACATTTTTAAAAATGATTTCACTATTTTGCATATGTTAGTTAGTATACATGGACCGTATTTCAAGAAATCTGAGCCGAGATGAATGTGTTCAGACAATTATTTTAGCTGGTGTATGGTTAAGTTACCATGAAATAGACCTAATGTTACGAGTATCTCATACTACAATATCACGAGTCATTCAACATTTTCGAGAAACAAACGACCATACGAGAAGGCGTGGACAAGGAAGAGAAAGACTTGAAACACCACGATAAGATCAGTTTATCAGGCTTCGTGCTATAAGAAAACGTTTTCTCACAAATATTCATAATATTCAAATTAGTAGAAATACTGTACACAGGCGTTTCGCTGAAGAAGATAAAGATAGCAGTCAGAGCACCAGCTTTAAACGTAAATCATCGCAGAAATAGATTACAATTTACCAGAAAGCTCCTTGACTTGAACGCTGATGACTGGGAGTACATGTTGTTTACTTATGCGTCGATGTATTATATAGCTACTTATACAGCTTAGATAGACATGTGAGAGTTATTCGACAGCCAAGAAAATGATACGCACAGTACATGATACGATATCACGTTATTCAATGGAAGATATGTAATGGTTTGGAGATTAATATCACTTACAGCACGAACGTACCTTGTTGCTTTACGAAGAGTTTCCTTAACAAGTAAAAGGTATATTATAGTCCAACCATGTTCCTTACATAGGAAATAATTTTCTTTTAATGCATGATAACGCTCGACCACACCTTGCACGTGTGGTCCGTGAATATTTGGACGAAGTTTTAATACAAACTATGGACTGGCCACCTTGCAGCCCTGATTTTAATCCCATAGACAATTTGTGGGATATTATTTATCTCCAACTCAGGAGCCGGCAGCCACCACCTGTCTCTCTTTACGACATTTAAGTTATGGTGATAGAAGTTTGGGATGCAATTTATCAAGACCAAATACGCCGCTCGGTTTTAAGTATGCCTCGTCGCTGTGAAGAAATAATTAGATACACTTCATCTAATTTATATAACGATGCACGTCATCGGTGTCATAGCCTGTGACGTTACATGATACCAACACAAAATATTTAGGGTGTAGGTGTGTTTTTTTTTAGAATCACTTTACCGAGTACACTGGCATTACAGCCACTAGACATATTTTATTATATACACGTAGAAATAATATTTAAAAATTTCTATTAATGTTAACTTAAAGAAATACACAATAATATGTTTCATTTAATTTGTATAAATGCATTATAAAGCGTTTTTATCAAGAACATTTGTTCGGAACACACTGTAACTGTAATCGAACAAAGCTAAAATTTTGGCATAAATTGGTAACACTTGTTTGACAGTTGCGGTGTTGACACTTTTTGTACTTTATTATTTTGAATTTTAAAGTGAATATCTCTTGTTTTATATTTTTAACTATTTAATAAAATCTGTTCTTTTTAGAACAAAATTAGTGTGTTTTATTTCAAAAATGTCACGTAAGAATTTAAATAGTCGTTGTAAAGAGATGGTAATACTTTTGCAATAATTATGTAATCTATTTGATTTAAAATGGAATCAGGATTTTTTTATACTTTGGCAACTATGTCAACTTCGATTTCTGACGTAGATAATGACGTAAGTCGTTATCTAAATTAGATGAAGTATACAGAGGTAGAAATACTCGTTATTAGGTATTTTTGGGAGAGTGAATTGTTAAAGATTATTAAGGTTATGTTTTCTTAGGCTTTATTTGTATTAAATGTCAATAAAATTTATGTAAGTAAAGTTTCCTTTGCTAAATGTTAGTAAAACCTTGTTTCATTTAAAGTTTTGTATCTTTGATAACAGATTATCGAGATAATTTTTTTACAAAAATATTGAGAACGCATAAATCTATCATAAAATTTTAATAAGATGTAGCGTTTCTTTCTAATAAATTCTAGGGTGTTGCAAAATACGATAAAAAAGCACAACTTTATTTTTACATCCCGTATGCGGGTAAAACGTTGATACTTTTTAGAGAACAATAATAGTACAATTTTTTTTGCTTAGACTTATCGTCATACAGCTAGACGCAAATGGAATAAGACAGTATTCATCATTATAATTTACCTAAATGCCCTATCAAAATAAAAGATTACATCGATATTAGTAGAAAAGGGACACACTTTTCTCGCCTAGGGACCTATCAAGGCATTGATTTATATAAGACAGAACAACACTAGCTCACAGAGAGGAGGAAGCTATACAAATGGTTTAAAACGTATTTCCTTTAAGAAAGTTTTTGGGAATGGTACTGGATCAAAACACTGTAAACAAATACAGCAGTGTTCTACTCAAGCTGTAAATTGTGCTGAAATGACCAGGGAACAAAAATAGACAATTACTATAAACAACCTACTTAAACTAATTGTCTAGTGTAAGGAATGGACGTGTGTAAATCAAACCATTTCAAAGTAACTGACAATTATTTTAATTAAAAATTAATGTATCCAGGAAGAAAACGTGAAAATAAATTACTACGAGCTACTGCTTGAGAGAACCATCTTTCTTCGACGCGTTAAGACAAGGTTGGCTG